GTAGTTTCATCTCTACAAAAAAACAACAACATTAAAACATCGCACTGCACCGATAGGGTACTCCACTAGAGCCCGGATCGGAAGTAAGAAGCACAAAATGGAAGCTAAGACAGTACACTCTCCAATGGGCCGATTACGGAGGCCGTTCGCTGTGGCACCGACCGGGACTTGAACCCCGGACGTTCCGACTACTGGGCGTACGCGATACCCCCAAGCCATCGCGGCGCGTGGGCGAGCGGAGGCAGGAGAACGACAACATGTCCCAGCGGGCGGGATCCCGGAGCAGCGGGGGACAGAGCGCGCCGGGGCCGGCGGGGATGAGGCAGGTAGGGGGGCCGGCCGGGGTTGGCACAGCAACCTAAACCATAGTTCACAGAAACGAATGGTTTGACTATCAGTCTGGATCCAGAGTGCCCACACTTCCAGTCTTGTACTTCTTACTTCCGATCCTGGCTTTAGCGGAGTACCCTATTGACATAACCTCTCACGCACTTAAAGAAAACGTACGGCTTACCTTGGGCAGCAAACATGGAGAAGAACGCACAGAACTTGAGATCACGTCACAACACTCACAGAGAACACTCAACACGACAACACTCCACTATTAGTTATTATCTAACACAAAACGTCAGGCAACGCGAAACGAAAGTAAACAAACTGCAGCTTGCAAGTCGAATCTGGCTACGGCAGGCCGTCCGGTCCGCACGCGTCAAAACAACACGCCCCCCTCCCCCTCCACAGGCGGCGCGCCGGCCGCAGCGCGCCGACGGGCCAGGACGCCTACCCCCACCACCAGCTACGGCAGTGGACCGAGCGAGGCACCAGGTAGCAGAGGTCTGCATCGGAGCCGCGTCCGAGAGCGGCACGTCTGAGTGAGATGCTCGAGCCGGCCATAGATCCATCTCACTCGCACATGTTGCTTTTCGTGCGCTCCCGGGACTGGTGGACCGACCGATGGACCGATGCAGACCTACGCCAGGTAGCTAGAGGGTCGGAGCTCGTCGGCGCTCCCGCAAGGGCCAGGAAGTCGTAGACGATGGGGCACTTCGGGTAACTTCTACGTGGCCAGGATGCGGGTGCGTGCCTCGCGCATGGTTGCACAAAGCGTCAACATAGTCTGATTAGTTTACGAATCGATTAGCACCTGCACGGGGTCGACGCGACGGCGGTAAGGCATGTCATTGTACGGCATA